ATGGAACGCCCGAAGATGCTAGCGGGGCGCACACCCACCAGCACAACCAAAAATCGAGCCAAGAGGGGGGTGGAGGAGCACACCACCCTAGCCCTTATACCCTACCCTCGGCCCTTAGCCCCCCGGACCCCGGGGTGTCTTCTGCGTTTGCCGGCGGCCACCCCACCCCCTATAACCCCCTATACCCCCTATACCCCCTATACCCCTATACCCCCCTATACGCAGGCGGCGACGTACAGCCTGCGGGCCGTGGTGTGGCACCGTGGCGGTGCGCCGACGCCCCTGACGAGAAGAGAGAATCCTCACGAGCAGTGCTGAATAGCCGATCTCGCTAGTCGCGGCCGGTGAGGGCCGTGGTGGCGCCCGCTGCCTGAGATCCCCCCCCACACTGTGCAGCTGCGTGGGGCAGGAACACCCGAGATCACCCGAGATCACCCGCGCCCGAGTCCGCCGTCGCTCCCGCGCGAGCCCGACGAGCCCGCCCTTTGGACAGGCGACGCCTCGTTCGGCCACTACCTCGCCGACGTGCAGCGCGCGCGCGGCGCAGCGGAGTACTGGGAGCGCTACGACGACACTGCCGTCACGAGGCGCGCGGCCATGTCCCCGCCACGCCACATCCCCGCCCGCGCCCTCCGAGTGGCATTCGCTCACGCGGCACGCGTCGTGACAGGATCACGCCGGCCACGGCGGTCGGACCCCACGCGACCGCAGTGACCAACGGCTACCTCTTCTTCTACGTCTCGGACGGGCTGGGCCTGTGAGGGGAGAGATCTGGGTCCCGCGTTGCACGGCTCGCGAGAGACCAGGGGCGGCCACTAGAGCAGTGTCGAGAGCTAGACGATATGGAAGAACGTGGGCGGAAGGTTCGTACAGGAGCGTCACATCGGCCCCGAGGTCAGATCCCCGTAAAGCCGATTTACATAACACATAAAATCTCGTAATAAAAGGGTAAGCGATCCGCAAAAACCAAAACCGGAAAACAACCAGCGAGCATCGAGCAACCACTTAGCACTTTGTTGGGGCGAGAGAGTACGGCGCGAGGGGTTCAACTGTGTTGTAATCATGAAGATGCCCCCCGTCCGCGCCTTCGCCTTATCCTCAGACACGAATCGGCGGCATTAACTTGCGCAACCACTCTCGGGCGCAGCGAGTGAGGACCAGCGTGCAGCGAGCCGCCGACGCGTCGGCCGTGAAGAAGCTGAGAGCGTGCACTGCTGTCTCTTCCTCTGACTCATCGCTCTCCTCGGCCTCGTTCTGAGACGCCGTTGTTACTATCGAGGTCTCGGGAGATTGCCGCTCGCTTTCTGTTAGTTCCGAACCGGCCTCTCACGCTCTCACCTCTCACTGCCGGACCGGCCTGATACGGTGCGACCGCAGCGCACAGATCAACGCACGCACGCATGCGGGCACCGAGCGCGGTTGTCATCGCCACCATGAGCATTCTCTACGAGCATGCTGCCGCGTACAACTCCTTGTTCATCGGGCACAGCTTCTTCCGTCCAATCGCGGAGAAGATGCCAGCGCTAGCCTCGGCTGCCGGACTGAACCACAGTCAAGCCATCGTGTTTAGCGGCGGCGCATCAGGTGCGCCATTGGCTCTCTGGAACTCGGACTCCATGCGGGATGAGATTCAGTCTATCCTTGACTGGGGCAACATTACGCTCTTCGGCATGACATTCGACCGCACGGCTGAGGGTTGCGAGCTCTGGGTAAACTATTCGCTTTCAAAGAACCCGAATCTCAACACGTTCATGATCGGCCTCCCATGGCTAGATTATCCGACCGAGTACGACACCGACAGCTACACATCCGTGGTGCGTAACGCGGCGCAAACCAACTGGACGGACTTCTTGGAGGAGCTCCGCGGCAAGTACCCGAATGTCACGATCATCGACAACCCCTACGGGCTGTCGGTTGTCGAGCTCCGTATCTTGCAGAGCGCAGGCAGCGTTCCCGACGTGACCGCCATGACCGGCCTCGCCGCAACCTCTCTTTTCACAGACTACAAGGGACACGGAGGCGACATCCTCAAGGACACAGCCTCGTTGGTTTGGCTGGATCGCATCTACCACGTGGGATGTGGCGACCCTGCCATCGCCGCCCTGTTCACCGGGTACATGACCGACGTCTGCTCGGTCGCGGCGTCTCTTTTGGGCGCCTACGATGCCGGGAGTGTTTGCGGGAGTAGTGCCTGCTACACAGCACCGCCGCGCCCACCGACAAGCCCGCCGACGGCCCCGTTGCCACCACTGCCGCCGCCGCCACCTCTCAATGTCGAATCGTGCCTCGCGGCGCTCGACGAGCTTGTCGCCCCCTGGATCACCGAGGAGACGTGTCTGGACATCGCTGCGGCAGAGCAAAGCGCGCTCTACGATGCAGTGTGCTCGGCGCAGTTCAACAACCTAGCTAAAGAAACCCGCACGGTCAAATGCGCTTCTTTGAGCCCGGTTCCACACCAGTGCCCCGTCGACACACGGGTGCAGTTTAGGTGATCGGCAGCCTCAGAGGAGTGGAAACTGATCCCCGGCGGGCCCTTCGCGACCGACGCGCGCGGCAGACGGCTTCGGATAGACATCGGCTCGGCTCCTAGCGGCTCGCAGAAGCAGCGCGGTCGCTCTCTCTCCGTCACGCCGTCGCGCGGTTGACGCTTTTTCGGCGCTCGCGGCGGGGCGGCAAAGCTGACTTTGAGGCCAATCAAGCCGGCCAAGGCCCCCACGGCGACAAGGCCCCCACGGCGACGGCGCAGACACCACTCATGGCGCCGGTGGCCTCGGAGGCGGCGGAGATGGCGAGGTGTGCGCACATTTTGACGGGTGCGCCAGCAGTGCTGGCGAGGCGCCCGCCGTTGACTGAACACCTTCTCGCGCGGCACGAGCGGCGCGCGGCGCTGCTGACGGGAGGAGGCAGTCACGGCCCGGACGGGTGCTGGCCGGTGGTCATCAGACCCGCGTCGTCACCGTATTCGGCGCGCAGTTCGGGACTGAACACCTCTCGAGGCGCGGCGCTGCAGCTGCAAAGTGATTGGTGTGCATCCGGCAGAGCCGGCGCGCTACGGCTTGCGCCCGTTGTCCAGACGCGCCGTGCCGCGCTCGCGCGCTCGCCGGATCAGCGCGTGCGGCAGGAACGATGCCGGTGTGCCAGTGTGCCGGTGTCGCATGCGGTGTGCCAGCGCGCCGGGTCCAGCGGACAGCAAGTTGTGTGTGGAGCGGGCGCGCGGTGGCCGTGGCGAATGTGAGCCGGCGCCACTCGCAGCCTGGTGTCGAGGCGCACTGCCTACTGCCCGTCGACTCAGCCGTGCGGCGGGGTATCCGTTTCTGTGTGTCGGTGGTGGTGCGCTTGGCGCGCATAGTGTGCGTGGGGTCTGTGTGCGTGTGCCACTCGCTCGCTGCTGCTGGATGCAACGGTTTCCCGTCGTAGTGTGTTGGGCGGCCCGTCGTAGTGTGTTTGGGTTGCTGAAAAGGAAAAGGCGAAATCAAAAGAGCGCTGCGTGACTCTGACTGTGAAAGCGTGGGTCCTCCGACGAGATCCGAAACCGCGAAAGTTGATCGCTGCCCGATTAGGGTGTGTGTGCGAGGCTTGTCGTCGGCGTGACAGCGACACGATCATGCTTCATCCCGGGCCGCCGATGGCCGATAAGGTTGCCCTAGGGTGGGAGGGCCCTGCGCGCGTCGTCACGCGGTGCTCAAACGCCTCGCGGCGGTGCTGGCACGCAGCCCGCTGCCACGGTGCAATATGCACAAGCCGGCTCGCGCGGCCGCGATGCTGTTCTCACGCCGCGCGATTGGCAGCAATCGGCAGCGCGAGTGTCAACGCGCAGCATAGCCTCGGCAGTGGCGGTGATGGCGCAGCAGGCGCAGCAGCAAAGGCCATGCCCAGCTCCCTCTGCGCCACCGGAGCGTAGTGCGGGTGTGCGCGATGCCATCCCCGTGGGCGTCATCAACTGTGCGCTGGTGGCGAGCCTCTGTGGTCCTCAAATGGCCCTTCTGGCGCTTCGATGCCGCTGCAGCCGCGGCGCAGCTCGACGCGCACGGGCAGCTGTGCTCTCACACAGTATGCCATTGCTACACACAGCCTATGGGAGGGTGCACACTTTTACCGGATCCCGCCGGGATCCCATGCTGGTGTGCGATGCTGTTCGGAGTGCCACTCGGTGGTAGCTGCGACGCGAGCGCTGCTGGGTGTGCCAGAGGCCAGCGCAGCACGATCCTAAGTGCTAAGATCGAGCCACACCAGTGGCCCTGTCACGCCGGGCGGAGAGGGCCGCGTTTGAAGCAGCACAGGGAGCCGCACACTTTTACTTCGCACGTAAAAGTGTGCACACACCGGTGTGCAAGCAGGAGAGCCCACACAGCGTGGGTCGGGCCCAAGTGAAGGGCTAGCCTGTGGAGAGCTCAATGCACACACTACTGCCTGGGCCGTATCCACTAGACAGGCCACATAAGGCGAACGGCGTGCGCACATGGGGCACCCGAGATCAACCAGTAGTGTGCGCGTGCGTGCAGGCCGGGTAGGGCTCCTCTAGAATCGGCGCACGAGAAGGGCGGGAGTACCACCTTTCTCGCCCGCTCAAAGCGCGCCTGGCCGTTGCGAAGCGAGCGCCGGAGACCCGCGAGGCGAGACGCGGAGCGGGGGCCCATGTCGGGGCAGCACGTGTGCGCGTCCCGCTCACGGCTCAGGCGCCAATCCGACAGCATGACCCACGCCTAGCTTGAGAGCAATGCAGATTATGCCCACTCGCAGTCCATCATAACGGGCCTCTTATGTTCACCCGACAACCTTCCGAAGCGAGAGCTGGCAATGCGCCGTCCGGGCTTGTGCGCCTAGGCCAAGGCGCGGCAGTACAGCCGACTATCGGCGGTTTGGACTGGCTCTCGTCAGCTGCACGCGCGCCCGGGTTGAAGCGGGATGGAGTGGTGACACCGGGCGGTGCGTCAGGCTACCCGACGACGTTGGAGTCACTGTCACACGTCGCGGACAGCCTGCACACACGGCGGGGCCGGTGCGAAACGGGTGAAAAAGAAAACAAAGAAGAGACTTTGCGGATTTCAACCGACTATGCGGGTTTGGACACGCCGTTGGCGCGGCTTTATTTTTGGATTTCCGTGTGACCTGTGTGGTGGCGGCGTGCCGTCCTCCCCATCCCTCCCTTGGGTTCGCTGTTTTCTTTCTTTGGCTTGTATTTTAAGAATTCTTTCTTTCTTTTACGCACTAAAGAAAGAAAGAATAAGGGGGTAGTTTGGGAGAGCGGT